TTATAAGACTATTATAAGTATATTTTTTATGTATTTAAAATATACTTAAAATATATTATAAAATATATTATAAGTATATTTTAAGTATGTAAAAAATATATCTATAATATACTTAAATTTTGATTTAAGTATAATTTAAGTATAATTTAAGTATTTTGGCAAAAATTAAATATATTAGAAATATATTTTAAGATAATTTTAAATACATTTTAAGTATATTATAAGTATTTCTCAATTTTTAAATTAAATATATTTTAAGTATAATTTAAATATATTTTAAAAAGTTTTTAATTATATTTTACTAAATATAAATACTTTTTATAGTGTATCCTTTCAATATGTAAATTTAAATAGCTATAATACCATTAAATGTAATGACAAATCTATCACAAAAAGATTTAAATATTTTAGTAAATAATTTTCGCAAATTTTTGCAGTTCTTTCAATCTTTTAATATTTTACAAATATTAATCTATGGGTAAATTTAGATTTAACACCCCTGTATAACGCTTAAATCCAACCTTTGGGATGCAATATACATAAATCTCACAGAAAAGGAAAAAAATAATTTCTCAAATTTAATTGGTGTTTTATTAACTAACATTAATAAAACTTTAAATTTTATATGTGTTCTATAAACCTTTATTGACAATAATCGCGATTCTACAAATTTCCTAAATCTACATGTTTATAATTGCAATTTACCATTTCCCTTCCTTCCCTCTTTACTTACTATTACCTGCACTCTTGTGAAAAGCAGCATTGTGCCCTATTCCATTACAGATACGACATTTGTAAAAACCTCTAGTTTTAAGTATTCCTCGAGAACCCTGTACTTTTTCAACACTATTCAAATACCTTCACTTAGATAGTCGTCCTTTATTTGTAACTTTGTTCAGATTCTTCACAGTTTCCTTTATCTGCAAACTCATTATTGTAAACACCTATTATACTTTCTTGAAAATCTAACCTATCTTGGTAAACATCTTTATACCATCTTTGGGGTATCATGCTGATGTGGAATGCTGCAGTTTTAGAATTCATTATAACCCGAAAGTAATGGTGACATACAATTCCTTTTGAGATAGATTTAATAAGGCATGAATATAGAAAAGATAATGCGTTGACAATAATAACGAAGTGTACATTATGTTTTCTTTCACTTTGTATATTTACAACTTTCCATATTTCTAATACTTCCTCTCATTCTACCTCTTTAATCATAGTTTGAAGTGTAATAAAACGTGTATCGTGTTGATCTTCAATAAATCCATCTGATGATCTATAGGGACTTTACTAAAAATGGCCAATTTTTTGAAATGATTTTGTAATAATTTTAAAATACTACAAAAATACATTTAATACATCAAAATGTTTTTATTATATTTTTGCTATTATTTTGTAATTGTATTGTATCTAGGTCTATAAAAATAATTCAAAATAATATCACAATAATTTTTTAATGTTTTTGTTATTATTTTATTATTATAATATAATTAACTTTGATATTATTTTAATATTTTAATTTCAATAATATTTTAAATATATCTTGATATATTTTAAAAATTTTACAAAATAATTGCACAATTGTTTTGAAAGCCATTGTATCTAGGTCTATAAAAATATTTCAAAAAATTGGCCATTTTTAGTAAAGGAGTTTCCTTTAAACAATAAATAATTAGTAAGTTGATATGTTTATACATCTTATTATGCAATATACTGTATTTGCTCACAACTTAAATCTTCATCATTAAGTCATTAGGTTCAATTATATTTGCATTAACAAATAGACATTCAGCCATTTCTGCCTTAATTGTATTGCTAATAGTGAAATATTTATTAATCATTTTTATTACTCTAGAAAACAAATCTTGCCCAGATGTAGAAGTAGTATTTGTCCTAGTAGTCTGTTTATATTCGTAAAACTGATTTCATCGTTTCTCCTCTTTTAACCTTGAATCAAGTCGATTAGCAAACTCACATAAAGTACTTTTGGCTTTTAATTGTTGTTTTATAATCCAATTATAGCCTTTAACTCTCGCAGTACTTTTAATACCAGTCGTGAAAATTTTATAAAGATAAGCCTGAGCCCATAATTTACAATTTTGATCTAAGGTATGTAAAAGATAATCTTTTGCTATTGAATAATTATTAAGTAACCAGTTCCATCTTTGCTTAAATAGTGGTTCACATAAACTATTGCGGCATTGATAGAATTGTTTAATAAAATCTTTCCATTTTTCGCCTAATTTTGCTTTTAGATTTTTAGGTAAATTTGTGCAATATAGAATATACAATGTGCTGGATATGTTTCTGAAAAAACAATTGGAATTGCTGCATCAAGTGCAGGATCTGCATCAGTAATAAACATGACAATTAGTGCTTGTTCTGTTGCTTTTTTGATGTATTGGAATATCCAAATATGTGTATTAAGAGATTCATCACTTGTTAATGCTTACCCTATAAAAAGTATTATACTTAAAATATATTTAAAATAGGGTTTTGTTTTTTATCGCACCCGCGACATGTCGCATGGTCAGCGCCGCAGAATATTATTGGTGCAAATTTTGTGTCCTGATTTTGTGGCGCGGAAAATTTGCGAAATGTAACGCAAATTTATCCATCTTTTTTTATCCAATAACAGGTGATCGAAGAAAAAAAATTTATTTTTTTTTTTTTGATTTCGTACTGATCAGTTTCGTTCCGTCTTGACCTCAAAAACAAAAACGTAAATTTTCGTTTTTGTTTTTTTTTTGTTTTGGTTTTTCTTTTGATTTAGGAA